ATGGGGAGTCAGTGACCCTAGGCAGGCTCCTGGAAGGGAAGCAGCAGAACCCACTGGGGAGCTGCTACTGGTGGGTCAGCCACCACCATGCCTGAGCATGGCGGCGAGGCCCTGCTCCCCACCCCGCCCCAGCCTCTGCCTTGGCTCTGCACCCTCAGCCACGCCCAAGGGCCCCAAGCAGCAGCTGGGACCTACAGAGGCCCATCGTCCACCCTCCCACTGGAGTGTCTTTCCCAAGAGCTGGCCCCCAAGAGCCCCCTCATCCACAGGGAGCCCAATGGCATTACATAACCCTGTGCCCAGGTCTGTGAAGTGCGCTAGTCGTAGTGAAGGCAGAGCGGTGTGTTTAGAACAAAGTGGCCGTCAGGATTACCTTGTCCACTGAGGTTGGGGTTAGTGTAGTCCCAAGTATCCTGATCGTTCTTGAACACGTTCAAGCGTGTAGGCTGCGGGCACAAGACAAAGCGTGAGGTCAGCCAGGCCTGGCACCTGAAGCTGACAAAGGGCAGGCACTTCCCAGACCTACCTTTGCATATTCAATCTTCAGGGTGCAACAGCCCGAGTAGATATCAGCCCCATTGAGTGAGGCCTTAGCCCGCTGGGCACTCTGCACAGAGTCAAATGTGAGTAACATTAAGGAAGACCCGATCACGGTTCCTCGGGAAGGGCTTCGAGTTATCCCAGAAGAGGAAAAGGCAGCTGCAGTCAGCCTGTGCCGCCGATGGGCCTGCTCCTGCCCAAGCACCGGCCTCTCTGGTGACCGGCGGGAGCAGTGCCCGAGACCTCACCCATCAGCTCCTCCGTGACCTGCACTCACACCAACCCAGGCCAAGCAGCATCCGTCTTTCGGCCAATCCGCTCCACTCTCAGCTGCGTGCTTCTCACTAGGCCTGACTCATCTCTGGGAAAGGATATCACCTCCCGCTAAGACTGTGCCCGACGCCCTTTCTAATTCTACCCCTCTGGTAACCTGTCCTTTCCTTCACTGACCTTTCATACTATCTCTGTTTATTAACAGATGCCCCTACCAGACGGTGGGCCCCGTGCGGGACCTGGCACGAAGCAGGCAGCAGAAACACACTGGCTCTAAGACTGGACCCCTGTGGAGCCCAGACTGTTTCCCCGTGAAGGATATTCCACCATGGCCTGCACACCGTTCTTACGGAAAATGACAATCCTCTGGACTGGGCCGCAAGGATTACAGATAGTGTAAAGAACATCCTGTGAAAGCAAAGGTAAGCGAGATGAAGGGCACTGGCAGATCAGTCTGGCTCAGGGGAGGGAAGAAGGACAAAGGGAAGGAGGACACGTGCACAGGAGCCAAAAGGGACCGCGCGCAGGCACGTACTGTGGTAATCGAATAGATCGGGTTCAGGATGGTGAAGAGAAGCACACTATTGACGCTCCGGGAGTCATCTGAGTCCCCGGGGCGGGAGATCTTCTGGCTGGTAGAGTAATTGACAAAAGCTGGATGGCCAGCAATGTAGATCTGGTTGTCGGCTGCGTAGTTCACTGCGTTGCAAGCCCCCAACACATCTTCAAACTCTACCAACGCTTGTCTCTTTTTCGGCATCACCACCACATAGCTGCAAAGAGAACACAGAGCTCAGTCTTCTTGGGATTGGAGACAAGAATAAGGCGGCCTCCCATTTCCCGCAGACCGACAACTCCTAACCCGATCTAAACACCTCTTGCCAGTGGCTCACTGGGCAAAAGGTGTAGCTTTGGCACCACTTCCTCTGGGAGGCCTTCCTTCCTGGCCCTCCCTCACCTGAATGAGTACAGTGTCATCAAAAAGCTCCTGGGTTTCCCCATTACTCTGCTCATCAGACTGGCAAATAATAAGTACTTGCTAAATGAGAGAATGCGGACAACGAACTAGAAAACAGATCAAAGAAGCAAAGAAAAAAGGAGACAGAGAATGGACTAGAACCTGACCCACAACAAAATGGTCTATCCCGAAATCAAAGACTCAGGACCTGGCCAAAGAATCCTGGACCAAAAGGCCAAGTCACTTCCAACCAAGAACCTGTAGGACACCAAGAAGTCTCTTCTCGGTATACCCAAACCTTGGCCTCTGGGCTGTGTCAAGTACCTAATGGGTCCGAACTCCTGCAAGGCCTCCACAAGGTCAGCTTCCACCACGCCGTCGATCAGGCCCCTGATGTGGACAACTGGGGAGGCCGGGGTTTTGTGCGGGTCATCGTAGTTCTCCTGAGAAAGGAAGCAAAAACAACACTTCACTCCTGTTGTACAATATGGTGGCCCCCTGGGCTCAGTGCTGTTGAGGACCCAGATGAGACAGCTGAATTGTCACCCAGGAAGGACACACAGGGCAGGCAGCTGGGGCGGGGTGGGATGGGGTGGGTGCAATTCAAGGCAATCACCCCAATGGGATTCTTGGCCAGCAGAGTGAGGGCCCTGAGTGGGTGATCACTTGCTCACTTGCCTACTAGTGCTTGCTATATAGCTTCTGATAATGTCCGAATGAGAACCACACATACCTCCCCACAGCTCACATTCCTTCCCGGGCCTGTCTCTCTTCCCAGAGATTAATAAAACATGGGGGAAAATAGCTGGCAGGAGGATGGCCCTGACCGTTCTCTAAGGCATGCCTTTTGCTTCTGCCCCCCTCCTTCCCTGCCCGTTCCCCTTTCCCTAGTGGAGCAAGCTACCATGATCACCTTGCCAAACACTCCTGTTCTTAACCACCCCTCCCCAGGCCCAGCTGGGATAGAACAGCATGTGCTCCAGCAGCTGTGGCGGCCAGGCCACTCTTGACCACTTCTAGCCTTTAATCCCTCTCCTGCAAAATCTGCTTTGGAAAACAGTCTAAACTAGTAAAGGAAGAACCAGGGGGAGAATAGTCTTGTAGAAAGGAGAAACCCCAACAGTCCATACCACTAAAAAGCAAAGTGGTTCCCTTCCCAGGGACAGTTATCTTTCTACCCACCCAGAAGCCTCTGGCAATCCGGATGGAAGTAACTTTCTCTACTTCTCCTGGGCTCTCCGCCCAACCTCCTATGTGAGAACCACCAGGCAGAAGCCCATGGAACAGTGAGTGGCAGAAGTGGATTCTATTTCAGGAATGAACGATACAAACCACAGAAGGCACACCCAGCCTGACGGTGACGGTTACAGGGCTGGAGGTTTGGAGTTTCAGTTATCTCAGCCCTGCCCCTCACTACCTGCATAACCTACGCAAATCACCTCACCCCTATCCACGGGAAATCATGGTATCTATTTCTCCCCGGCTCATAAATTCAGAGAGATCTTCCAAATGTGTGCAAGAAGGAATGGCACAAGTTCAAATGGGGGTCAGTCACAGGCAGAGACCACCACCAACCCCCAACCGGCTGCAGGGAAGGACCCCTGGGGCATAGAGAACGGACTCCGAGTCAGGCGGGGCAACTGTGGTGGATTTTCGGAGCATCAATTCCTTCCCAAACGCCCACCCTCTGGGAACATTCTGGTTTATGAAGCCCACCGCACCCGCTGAACCCCCAGAAATGAAGCAAACGTCATGGCGCCAAAGTTTGGCTCGAGTCCCAAACGGCTGTGTGTGTGTGGGGGGGGGAAGTCCTTCACAAGTCTTCCGGTTTTCACATTCCACAAAAAGGGGGACTGACTTTGTTCTAAGGGGGGGGGTCACCCTCAAGCAACTCAACCGATGTATCAAAACTCCTGACGCTACGGATTAAACCGCGACCGGACAGAAGCGCCCACGCAGGCGCAGAGGGGCCAACGCCCACCCGTTCCCGCTCGCGCGGTGCCCTCCCCCCAACCGCCCACGAGGCCCGGGCGGAAGAAGCGCGCCTGCGCAGGGGGACAGCCAGCAAAATGATAAAGACAAAAAAAAAAAAAAAAAAAAAAAAGGAGGGGGGGCCCGGCCGCGTGCCCGCGCCCCCCAGCCCTCGCGCCTGCGCACTAAGTCGTCTGCAGCGCCAGCTGCTTCCTCCGCCCCCAGCACCCCGCTCAGAATAGCGCGCACGCGCAGAAGCCTGTCCTCGCACAAACCCCGCCGTTTCCCCAACGCCTGCCCCTCCCCCACCCCGTCAACGGCGCGAGGGCCGGAGCGCGTGCGCAGAGAACAACCCCCCCCCCCAAATACCCTCAAGGTGGGAGATTTTTGCCTCCCTTCCCGGCCGACCCCGGAGCCTAGGGCTCTGGCCTCACCCCGCCGCCCGCCGCCCCGGCTCCTCCGCCGCCGCCACCGCCTCCGTGCTGGTCGCCGGCGTTGTCAGTCTTGAGCCGCTTAGGGGCCCGGCCGCCCTCACTGCCGCCGCCGTAATAGCGGCCACCGCCGCCTCCGCCGCCCGCCGCCGCCATCTTCACCATCGCTCCCGACCGCCTCCGCTGCTCGTCCGGCTGCTGCCTCTGCTCCAGCCGCCGACGCCGCTTCTCCGCCCGGGGCAGCAGCCTCCGCGACATGGCGGCTCAGAACCCGCCTCCCCCCGCCTCTCATTGGGGGAGGGACCCGCCCGTCACCCGCCGCCCCCACCCGATAGGGGGAGCCACTGGTCCCGCCGCGGGGGGAGGGGGAGCCTCCGCACGCCTCGCGCGTCTATTGGGCAAGGCGCACGCCGTTCTGCAGGAGAGCCCGCCCTCGTTTGTCTGGGACGCTCCTTATAGGCCAGCGCCTCCTGCCAGTCATTCCGCCGACCCCGCCTCTTTAAAATAAACTCCAATTTGATAGGTCGGATTTCTGGCATTGCCTGGCCTCCCCGGGAAAACCTGGTGAGTGGCGCTCCCGACTCCCCTGAAAGCTCCGCCTTCTTCCCACTTTGACTGGTTGCCTCGCTAGTCCATCAAACTGAAATCCCTTAGTCGTCCAGTCATAACCACTACCTCCCCGCGCCACTCCGCAAGAAGACAAAGAAGCCCCTCCCTCTTGCCGCTTTCTATTGGCTACTGCAGGCGCCCGTCTTTTGCGTCTCAACCCGCTTAATCAATGGGAAGTGGAGAGAGTTCCCTCAACAAACCACAGGATCATTGGAAGTCTCTGATTGGGTGAAAGAGGGGAACCCATCCCGGGTGGGTCGGCTCTTTGACGCAGCCTAGGAGAGGGTTGGAGGCGAAGACGCATGTGCGAATATGCTTTGAGGAACCTCTGGAGGCGGGGTCCCCCTGTTAAGAAGCGAGGCCTTGGAGTACCCCTAGTATTTGAGTGACGGCTGCGTGCTGCGTCAGGTTAGATCTGCGCCGAGGGGCAAATGCCAGTGCGTCTCCCGTGCCCGTCACCATGGCCCAAGCCTCCCTCCCTCTGAGCCCTCACAATGCCGCAAGAATTTCAGCGCAAATTTGACCCTTTGCTCAATGCAAAATTGTTAGCTGTTGCTGTCTTGCAGCCGCGTGCAGCGGCCGACGTCATTCCACCCCTTCATCTCTACATTCAGCCACGATCACTCCTCGCACGTGCGAGGACCTCCCGCGCCTCGCGATCTGGCCCGGTGCAGGCCCTTCCACCTAGGACACGTTGCTCCCCGCCCAGCCAGAGCCAGGGGGCCATTCCTCTGGCCCCTGCAGTCTCGGCCCACTCTGAAAAGCCTCTCTTATCACTGCCGGCCCAGGCCACCGCCACCGCGTCCTCCACGGCAGCCCCCATCACTGGGGGTTCACACGACGGCCCTGACCACTCTGGGTCGCCACCGGTTCGGTCCTTGTCTCTTCCCTGCGTGGGCGAGGGAGCCGTGGTGCCCGCCTCGGCCTGAGGGAGGTGGTCTTCCTGCCAAGCGCCCGGTACCAGGCGCGGCCCAGTGCCCCGCCGAGCGCGCTTCTGCACAGGCGAGTCGCTGAGGTGTCGGCGCCAGGGGCCTGCAGGGGTGGCGTAGGGTGGCTTGGGGCCACCCCATCCCTCCCTCAGGGCGCTAATGTGGTCGGGCGGCCTGCAGCGGGACGCTCCACTTAGAGGGTGGAGCCGTGGGAAATGCGGGGGAGGCCCCCAAAGTTGCTGGGGAACCTCTCCACCCGGGGGAGAAGGGGGCTGCCGGCATCGGGTGCTCACGGGAACGCTGAAACGGGGTCGGTGGCGCCGTGAGACGGGGACAGGCCTGGCTGGGGCGGGGCGGGGCGGGGCGGGGGGGCCGGTTAACCAGGATCTAAGCGGCTCCAGGTCACGCCGGGAAAGCCCCGCCAGGAGGGCCGCCCCGAGACGGGGGCGGCGTCGCGCCGGCAACACGTGACGCGCGCGCCGGGAGCAGGCGGGGCCGGGCCCCCAGAAGGGCGGGGTCGCGAGGTCCCGACGTCAGAGGAATGCGGTGGAGGGAAGGGGGAGGGGGCCCCTCCCCTCCCCGCCCCGGCGCCCGGCCCGGACGCCCCTCGCGCCGGCGCGCGCGGACCGGACGCGACGGGACCGTCCCCAGCGCGACACGCTCCAGGCCGCTCGCCCGCCCGCCCGCGCGCGCCCACGGCGGGGGACCCGGCGGTCTGCACCCCCGCGGCCCCGGCCTCCGCCCCTCCCCACCCCGGCTGGGGCGGCCGCGGCGATCTGCGGGTGGCGCCGCCCACCGAGCCCCCCGCACCCCTCCCGCACCCCTCGCCCCCAGCCCCTACCAGCTCGGCGGCGAGCCTGGCCGGCCGTCCGGGATCGAAAAGAGAGCAGACACTGGGAAGTTTTGGGGGAGGGAGGGGCGGACCTTAAAGGGACCACGACCTCTTTTTCAGCCTGGAAAAAAAAGTGGGGAGGGTTGGAGGAGAGACTGAGGAGCTGCTCGGCGGTAGAATGGAGAAAATATGGCAAAAAAAAGGAATGGAAAACTGTGGAGCCTCCGCTTTGGGGCTCCTTGTGCCTTGTCCCCAAATACCCCAGCCTCTTAACCCCGCCCCCTTTCTCTCACAAAGAGTCGCTCAGTTGTTTGGGAATCGTGCCTCATTCTTGGTCGGCCAAGTGTTGTGTCGGGTTGAGGTAAAAGTTGGGGCGCACGTTGTGCAGATGGCGAAATAGGCACGGGCCACTAACGCCGGGACCCCAGTGCTTGCAGGTGGCAGGACAAGATTTGTCGGCCGTCAGAGCCGCGTAACCACTGCACTTCAGTGCCGCTCTGGTTTGGGGGCTGCAGTGTCCAGTGGGGGTTAAGCCCTGGGGCCAGACTGCCGGGCTTCAAATATGGAGGCTGCACTTATTAACTCTGTGGTCTCAGGAAAATGATTCAATTTGGCGGGGGGGGGGGGCTTCTGTTTCCTCATCCATTAGGAGGTAGGTAATAGCACCTGTCCAGTGTGGTTTTGAGGGTTGGGGATGTCTGGAAGCTGAGGTGACCTCAGAGACGAACCTCCTTTTTACAAATTAGATAAAACTGAAGCTCAGAGAGGGAAAGACCAGTTGAAAATCAAAAGTAAGGGACCTCTGAAAGAGCAAGTCCCTCCCCCTCCTTCACAGCCCCCAAGGCATAATTTGATATCACAGGCCCATCTAAATCCCAAGTGTACCCCCCTTTTTACTTGTTCCTGACCTGAGACAAACTGTGGCTTTCCTTGTGTTCCTCTACCCAAAGTTCGTTCCTGACTTCTCCCTGGCATTTTCCTCTTATTTCCCCAGATGCCTGCTCCTTCTCTGACAAACTAAGGCTCAAATGGCACCTGTGAGACCCTAGCGTAGTGCCCCCCCACCCCCAGTTAAAATCAAGCAAAGAGGGAGATAAATTCTTTGCTCTTACCCTGTGTGAAAATACCTAGTTTAATTTCTGATTCCTCACTCGAATCTGGAAACTTTTTGACCAGAAATGATCTCAATCCTGCTAAAGACCTACCCTGAAGTCATAGATTCAGCAGATATTCATTGAGCCAACACTATTCCGGGTAACTGGGGTAAAATGGCGAACAGGATATCAGAGCCCCCTTCCTCCTGGGGGTTACATTCTAGTGAAAAGATGGATGATAACACAGGACAATAACACACTGTTCACATTCATGCTCTGACATACCAAGGACGCCCTGCATGGACTGTGAAGTCTCGCCTTCTAGCCGAGGTGTGTGGCAGGCTCTCCCCTAGATGCGTGTTAATTACACTCTGTGACATTCACACAGGGTGAACTCCATCTCCCAACACATCTCCCCATCATTATTGGACACGTCACAGTATCAGATCGTGATAACTGCCATGGAGACTATAAAGCAAAGAAGGAGAAGTGGATGAAGAAGGAGAGGGGAGAAGTCCAGTGGATTCTGGGGGGAAAACATTCCAAGCAGAGGCAACAACCAATGGCCCTCCCCGGTGGCGCAGCGGTTGAGCGCTGGGTTGCAAAGCTGCCCGCAGCCTCTGCAGCGCCAATTCGATCCCCGGCTGCTCCCTGGCCACCAGAGGAGGGTCCCACATGGCGCGCAGACCTCTCCTGCCGCCCGCTGCTCCCCTCAGCAGTGTACTTCGGCCCTTCTGCCTGTTCTGCTCCCCGCTCTGGCTCTGGTGAATTCTCTCACCCTCCCGCGCTTCTGACTGTACCCAGTGCATGTATAAACAAAAACAAACAAACAAATAAATGAATAAATAAATAAAACATGCCTCTATTTAAAAAAAAAAATTAAAAAAAAACAACAACCAATGAAAGCCCTTGAGATGAGAATGTGCCTGGCGTGTTCCCAGAATCAGTCCAGAACTATAGTGGGGAGTGAATTGTGCAGCCAGACGGCTCAGGAGAAGGGTCTCTTAGGCCCTGAAGAATTGGCTTTTAATACTGAGGTGGGGCCATTGAAGGGGTATGAGAGGGACAGGCCACGATCTGAGTCCTGAGGTTGCAGGATGTGGGTGTGGGAAACAGGCTTTGGGAGGTGGGGCAGGAAAAGGAAGACGGTGAAGAAGCTGATTCCATGGAACTGGCTGGGGACGGTAGACTTGAAATGGGAGGGTTCAGTAGAGCCCACTGAGTGGGACAAGAGGTCATAGTGCCCCATGATTTAAAACCCCAACTGTGGGACCCGTCAGTGATGGTCAAGGTCCCAGCTGAGAGGTAGCATTTTTATTTTTTTATTTTTTTTTTTTTTTTTAAAATTTGATTTTTTTTTTTAAATTAGTAATTGTCATTTTCCAACTTTATTTATTTTTTTTTTTTTAAATGTATTTTTAAGCATTTATTTATTTATTTATTTATACAAGCACTGGGTAGAGTCAGAAGCACGGGAGGGTGAGAGAATTCACCAGAGCCAGAGCGGGGAGCAGAGCAGGCAGAAGGACCGAAGTACACTGCTGAGGGGAGCAGCGGGTGGCAGGAGAGGTCTGCGCGCCATGCGGGACCCTCCTCTGGTGGCCGGAGAGTAGCCAGGGATCGAACCGGTGCTGCAGAGGCTGCAGGCAGCTTCGCAACCCAGCGCTCAACCACTGCACCACCAGGGAGGCCCGAGGTAGCATTTTTAAAGGAGACTCCCTTGGACACATACCTGTTCTTAAAAGTTTTATTAGACCCCCAGGACTAGCTGTCTATGCCAGTGACCATTGGGGGCAATCTTAACTACTCTTAAACACCCCAGCAGCCTCCTCCACATGGACATGGGGGTTCTCCTGGTCAGTTCCTTTTCTGAAAACACTAAAATGTCTTTCTTTTTTTTTAAAAAGATTTATTTTCTTTATGCATACATGAACTGGGGTGTAGGCCAGAGGTGGGGGGTGGTGGTGAGAGGATTCACCAGAAACACAGTCGGGAGCAGAACAGGTGCTGAAATACACTGCTGAAGGGAGCAGTGGGTGAGACAGGAGAGGTCTGCTGCGCCATGTGGGTAGCTCCCTGGCTGGGGACCGAACTTGTGCTATAGTGGCTGGTTATAGCTTGATAACCCTGAGACTAAATCCCTGTGCCGCCAGAGAGGCCCTGAAATTTCTTTTAATTAAAAAAATTAGGCAACATGAAACATGGTGCAAACATGGAACATATAAAGGAATTTGCAGTGAACACTCCCTCTGTCCTCCTCCTCCTCATTTCCCTTCTAGAGGCAACCACGGCTACCGATTCCCTGAATGTCCTTCTGGAAACATCCTACATCCCTACCAGTAAATACTTACATACATTCATTTTTTCACATGTTATACAAATGTTTCTGCTCTTTGCTTATTTTGGAAGATCATTTTATATCTAGAACTGCCACTCTTTTCTGGTTTTGCTCTTAAAAGTTTTATTAGACAATGCATGTAAACTTGTTAACCATGATCGCCAATTCTGGTTAAGTTACAACTCTGTTGTACCCGTACTTTTTTTTTTTTTTTAGGGACTTCACTGCAGCCTGGAGGACCCAAATTCCAAGGGCACTTCCCCTGAATGCCTGAACATGGGCCCTGCTTATATAGGTAAAGGGGGCGGGACCAGACCCACTTTATGCAAATGAGGCATTCAGTCAATGCAGTTCTACGGTGGAAACTGTCAAGCATTGATTGATCACATTTCAGTGTTGGGCTTGCCTCTGGGCTTGCTTTCTCTCTTTTTCTGGGCTGTGACTCATCTGGACTGCCTCAATGTAGGGGTGGGTGGAGGGGTGTGCTTGGACATGCCTTGGATCCCACCCCCTACAATCTCCTGGTTCTAGTTGTTACCCAGATTCAGGATGACATCATGTTTGTTTTTCTTGTTTTATATATCAAACCAAAGCATTGCTTAAAAGTCGTGACAATATACCCTGATATTCACTCAGCTTAACCCTGCGTTAGCAACCCCGTTGGGCCTGCTCCTGGTCCCTCTTGGATTGCATCACCATCTCTGCACTGAGACATTAACACCATCCTGAACTTTGTGTTTATGATGTCCTTGCTTTTCTGTATGGTTTTCAAAACAATCTTTTATTTTCCCAGTCTGGGACACTTTTGCTAGTAAAAATAGAATTATATTGTTTGCATTATATTTTTGAGACTCATCTATGATGTTGAGAATACTCACTGCTGTATAGTGCTTCCAGTATTGCTCACTGCTGTATAGTATTTCACTGTAGGTGTAGAACACAGTTAATCTGTTCTATAGAGAGTGAGCATTTGGGTGGTTCCTAAATATTTGGTTATGTGTAACAAAAGCTTGGTGTCTTCTCCATACTCCAGGGTGAAGGCAGAGTAGGTTTTGGGACAGAAGTCAGCTCTGACAAGTGCCATTGTCATCAGTCATAGGGGTCCTTCCTCCAAAAGCGGCTTCACCCCCTAAGGATAGCATAGGGTACTGTGATGGCCCTGGAAAGGCTTCCTTTTGGCTTTGTAACAATTCACCCATTGCAGGCTTTTCCCACGTTGAAACCTTAATACAGCTGCTAGGAGGAAGCCTAGTAAGGGTATATCTTGTACTTTTGTCTGTTTCTCCTATGATAAAACTAATAGCAAAAGAATAGAAAATAGGTTATTGAATGAGACACATTGTTCTAGAAATCACCTCTCACTAGACATAGCCTGGAAGACCCAACTCTTTTTTAAAATTTTTATTTTTTTAAGGTTTATTTTATTTATTTATGCATACAAGAACTGGAGTACGGAGCAGCGGTGTGGGGGTGAGAGGGTTCCCCAGAGACAGAGTGGGGAGCAGAACAGGCAGATCGACTGAAATACACTGCTGAGGGGAGCAGCGGGCGAGACAAGAGAGGTCTGCTGCGCCATGTGGGTCACCTCCCTGGCTGGGGATCAAACTCGTGCTGTAGTGGCTGGCGATAGCTTGATAGCACTGTGTTTCACCCCTGCACCACTAGGGAGGCCCATCCTCGGACAATCCTGACCTCTAGGTTCCTAGATTTCCTCCCTCCCAGTGATTTTGTCCATCCTTCCAGCCCTTCCTTCCCGTCACACCTAGGCCTTGTCTCAATAACCAGTGTCTTCAGAACCTCACTTTCATGCATCTTTCCCTCCCCTGTCACCCACCTTTCTAGTTCTCTCCCTTTGGAAGTTTAGTTCCAACAATCCATGAGCCCTGCCACCTTTCCACTGCCACTCAGCCTCTCCTGTCTTCACACGCATTAAATTCCTTGACCAGCCCTCATAATCACACCCCTCTTGTGTGTATTCTCTGCCACCGCCCCCTCTCCTCCACACTCATCTGGCAAAACCACAATCCTTGTTAACTCTAAGACTCTGAAGGAACCTTAGAGTAGGAAAATGTAGGGTGGAAGGTCTCATAAGGACAACACCAGAGGTGGGGGTAGGGATGATGAATGAATCTTAGACTCAGACTTACGTGGCTATGGAAGTTTCCAGGAATCTGAGGAGGGTCAAAAAAGATTATCAGACAGAGGTGGGGGCAGAGAGGATTATTGATCTTCGAAGACCAACCAATCTGACCCCAAGGCGATAATTTCCACAATAATCCCACCCAAGTATCTTATAAAAGCACACGCCTTGTCCTGGCAAATGCAGTTCTTGTTCTTCAAGACTGCCACCAGTGTGTCTGCAGGTGTCTCTTTTTCCTCCACCCCCCACCCCGCCTTTTCCTCAATAACCTTGCTGTGTGCTGATGAATGGAAACTTCTACTAAATTCTTTCTCAGAACCTCACACACCAAACCCCACCATCTGAACCCCAACAGCTCCACCTATCGCTGCTTGCATCTGCAGCTGAATGTGGTTGGAGAAAAATAGGTGTCCGTGTTGACTCTTCTTGCCTTACATTCAACCAGGTACTCGGGGTGGCACCCACTGTGCCACCCAGAACGTTCCTGATGTCCGTGGTCCTTAACTCTCCCAGGTGACATAGCAGAGCTTCTCCTCAAGCCTCGTGTCTTTCCACTTCCCCACCTCCTTCGCCCCCAGCAGTGACCCTGACCTTCCAGCTTCCTGGGAACCACAGCCACCCTCCCCTGCAGCCACTCTCAGTATCTTTTTTCTTTTTTAAAGATTCATTCATTTATGCGTACAAGAACTGGGGTACAGGCCAGAAATGTGGGGGTGACAGGACTCACCAGAGACAGAGTGGGGAACAGAAGAGGCAGATTGAGTGAAATCCACTGCTGAGGGGAGCAGCAGGCGAGACACGAGAGGTCTGCTGCGTCATGTGGGTGTCTCCCTGGCTGGGGATCGAACTCGTGCTGCAGTGGCTGCAAATAGCTTCACAGGCTGCGTCTCAACCCCTGTGCCACCAGGGAGGCCCCCACCCTCAGCATCTTTACCTGCCGGCTCTGCCTCCCCACCTGTTACTGGGGAGCCAGCCTTGTTGCCACCTGCTGGGCGTCTTGTTTTCCTCCATGCAGACACATTTGTCTATTCCCCATTCAGGAAATTGGTCCCCTGTGGATTCAGTGTCCCGGGAGAGAAAGGTGCGGGCAGAAAGCAGAAGTAGGCCAGCTTTCTCTGTTTCTTTTAAGCCTCTTCACGGCTCCAAACGGAAATAGCTTTCTGGTCTATTGGGCCTCAGATTGAAAACTCAGATGTCCTGAGGGGCTGATGATAAAGCCAGCCCACTAGAGGGGAAATTCTCAGGTGCAGAACAGTCGTGAGACTTTTCCCTCCCTCGGCTTTATTGAGATGAAACCCACATGCAAGTCACCACACATATTTAAAAGGTATAATTTGATGAGGTTTGGCTTAAGTACAAACCTGTGAAACCACCTACACAATCAAGATAATGACCATAGATAATGGACATACCCATCCGCCCATTTCCTCCTGCCTCTTTGCAAACCTCTAGCCCTCCCCCTACCTCCACACCTCCCAGACAGACACTGGTCTGCTTCCTGTCACTATAGTTCCTCTGCATTTTCTAGAATGAGATTATTTAGTGTGTACTCTCCCGTCTGACTTTTTTCATTCAATATTGTAATTTTGAGATGCCTCCGTGTTGAAGGATGATTCATTCTTTTCATTTCGAAGTGCTTTTCTGTGGCATGAATGTCCGGGAATCTGGTTACAGAGTCACCTGTGGATGGACATCTGGGCCTTTCCATGTGGGGCAATTACAAATCAAGTGTTAGGAGTTTTGGTGTATAAGCCCTCGTGTGGGTGTACGTCTCTTTCCTCCAGGAATGGATTTATCTAGGAGTGGATTGCATGGGTCATACGGTGGTGGATATTTATTAACTTTTTAAAAAAGATTTATTATTTATTTATGCATGCAAGAACTGGGGTACAGGCCAGAGGTGTGGGGGGTGGGCAGCGAGAGGATTCACTAGAGACAGAGTGGGGAGCAGAACAGGCAGATTGACTGAAATACACTGCTGAGGGGAGTAGTGGGCGAGACAGGAGAGGTCTGCCGCGCCATGTGGGTTGCTCCCTGGCTGGCCGCGATCGAATTTGTGCTGCAGTGACTAGCAGTAGCTTGGTAGCCCTGTCTTTAAGCCCTGCGCCACCAGGAAGGCGCTCTACTTAACTTTTTAAGGAAGTGCCGAGCTATTTTCCAAAGTTGTTTGTGCCATGATGTCCCTTACTTAATACTAATTGATTGAAAGTTCAGTCTTTAGTTCATTCATTCCTTCATTGAACAAGTATTTATTGGGCACTGTTTCTGGGGAGGAAGCTGGTCTCCCTCTACCCCTCAAGATCCTTGTGGCTGGAACTAATTAAATTGACAGGAGAGCTTAGCAAAAGACAAACTTTTAAATATGTGAGCACAGAGGTCCATACATAGAATTGTAGAAGCTATGATCTGGGCATTCCAGTGAGAGTATATAGTTTTTAGAAAGGTGGTAATGAACTTGGGAGGGGGGAGGCAGGACAAAGAGCTTTGCAGCTTACAGGAGGGGGTTTTGTAGGACTCTACAGATGCCTTGAAAATAGACCTCGCAAGCCCAAGGGCATAACAGGGTCCCTCTTCTCCAGGGCCACCAGAGAGAAGTCTAATCTAATTTTAGGGAGAGAGATAATAAGGCAAAAAAAGGTCCTTCTTCGGTCTTTTTAAAATTTTATTTATTTATTTTTAAAGATTTATTTATGCATACAAGAATTGGGGTACAGGCCAGAGGAGTGGGGGTGGAGAGAATTTGCCAGAGGCAGAATGGGGAGCAGAGCAGGCAGACTGACTGAAATATACTGCTGAGGGGAACAGCAGGCGGGTCAGGAGAGGCCTTCCTGGCCAGGGATCAAACTCGTGCTGCAGTGGCTGCAGACAGCTTCATAGTGCTGCAACTTAACCTTGTGCCACCAGGGAGGCCCCTTGGATCTTCTGTCTCAATCTCTCTCCATTCAGAATGGTCAGCGTGCCTCTGTGGCACGTCCTGGGGCAGCTTGTGTTTGACCCACACACTGTTCTAGGCCAGGCTCTGTTCTAGGCATGGAGGAGTCAACAGTGAGCAAGAAAGACAAAATTCCTGCCCCTGGGGAGCTGATCTTTCACCCTAGCCTCTCAGCACAGGTGATGTGGTTAGGGAGTTCATACTCAGGAACCCGATGGCTGGG